GGGCAAGTAACATGAGGGTTTTATTTATCGAATAAACATTACGTTTTGAGCAGGATTTTTGTAATGTCAGATTACATGAGACGGCCAAGTGTTGTTGACTTCCATAGCATTGGTGTATCACATATGACCTAAACAAAGACGATCTAGAACTCTTACCAAGTATAACCTTCAACAGTATAGACACTTTTAAGTGCGGATAATTTGCTTGTGTATAAATGCATTAATTCCAATGTAAATGTGGTTCTCAGTTCGTGAGAACTGATATTTACTTGGTGTAGTGTCGCGGTGAGTCTATCGATGTCTACACTCGGTAATAGATGGATTGCAACTATCTCAGGATACCTTGTGGTCACAATAAATTACTCTCATCAGTTTATCACCAACAATGACATGAGTGACGCTAGAGTCGATATTGAATGAATACTAATGATGTTCCGTTTGGATCGCTGCTGCTGGAACTGATGACTGTCATTTGTCTTCTGATAGGTATCTGAATGAGACATCTGTGACGACCGTTGGTCCATAAGGGTGGTAAGTTAAGCAAAGTAAAGATCCCTTATTACGCCTAAGGCGCTTCGGGTATATGGGCAGAGCGTCCCATATTTGTACAGACCAATCGCCACTGGATGGGTAATGTGGTCAGCATTACGCCGGCCGTCTTTACTTTCCCAGGACATCCATCCTGGTACCAATTTTAGGCTAAGTCTACCTGATAAAGGTGGTAGTTAAGGAAACGTTCTGCATTTCATTTACTACATTTAAAGCATGAAATACGTTGCTCATATCACCCCAACCGGATATGCAGAGCATGTTCGCTCGGCAGGTAATAAGTAAAAGGGTCTCCTTAAATTTTGGCTGACCTTTATTTTCTACGCAGGTAACTTCATTATCTTCCTGAGGAGTGTCGAATGTCGATTTTTGGAAAAAAGCATCGATGTTTGCTTACAGATGCGCATTTTCCCCTCTTAGAAAATGTAATTCATTTTAAATGCCATGTTTGCTTGTGTAAATTTTGAAACAGTATGAGAGAACTTTGTAGTAATAAAAATAGTGAATCTGTCCTCTAACGGTCGGATGACTTCAGGGAAATGAAATACACAATTTTTATTTATTTTGGTGTCTGCAGCACTGTTTTCTGGGCGTAATGATGGTGAATAATAACTCGTGTTTGACTGGGCATGGTCACCATGTTTGGGTGAAAATTTGTTTGTGGTGCATTGGCCAGGTTGTAAAACATTGTCTATTCAAGCATACAATGTGCTCATTTCTTTTCCAGCTTTGATCTGCCTGTTCGTCCGCATGGCAGTTGAAGATTTTTTTTTTTTTTACTCGGGGCTAGGTGTGTGCTTCTAATATCACCATCTTACCCGCCGGCTTTTCTGTTTGATAGCATTTGGCCGGTGTAGTCAGGCGTAAGCTGGGAGCTTTTTTTGTGACAGCGTTTTGCCGGTGTAGTCAGGCGTAAGCTGGGAGCTTTTGTGTGACAGCGTTTGGCCGGTGTAGTCAGGCGTAAGCTGGGAGCTTTTGTGTGACAGCGTTTGGTCGGTGTAGTCATGCGTAAGCTGGGAGCTTTTGTGTGACAGCGTTTGACCGGTGTAGTCAGGCGTGAGCTGGGGGCTTTTGTTTGACAGCGTTTGGTCGGTGTAGTCATGCGTAAGCTGGGAGCTTTTGTGTGACAGCGTTTGGCCGGTGTAGTCAGGCGTAAGCTGGGAGCTTTTGTTTGACAGCGTTTGGCCGGTGTAGTCAGGCGTAAGCTGGGAGCTTTTGTGTGACAGCGTTTGGTCGGTGTAGTCATGCGTAAGCTGGGAGCTTTTGTGTGACAGCGTTTGGTCGGTGTAGTCAGGCGTAAGCTGGGAGCTTTTGTGTGACAGCGTTTGACCGGTGTAGTCAGGCGTGAGCTGGGGGCTTTTGTTTGACAGCGTTTGGCGGGTGTAGTCAAGTGTAAGCTGGGAGTTTTTGTTTGACAGCGTTTGGCCGGTGTAGTCATGCGTAAGCTGGGAGCTTTTGTGTGACAGCGTTTGACCGGTGTAGTCAAGCGTAAGCTATTGTTCGACAGCGTTTGGCTGGTGTAGTCAGGCGTAAGCTGGGAGTTTTTGTTCGACAGCGTTTGGCCGGTGTAGTCAGGTGTAAGCTGGGGGTTTCTGTTCGACAGCGTTTGGCTGGTGTAGTCAGGTGTAAGCTGGGAGTTTTTGTTCGACAGCGTTTGGCTGGTGTAGTCAGGTGTAAGCTGGGAGCTTTTGTGTGACAGCGTTTTGCCGGTGTAGTCAAGCGTAAGCTGGCAGCTTTTGTGTGACAGTGTTTGGCCGGTGTAGTCAAGCGTAAGCTGGCAGCTTTTGTGTGACAGTGTTTGGCCGGTGTAGTCAGGCGTAAGCTGGGAGTTTTTGTTCGACAGCGTTTGACCGGTGTAGTCAGGCGTAAGCTGGGGGCTTTTGTTTGACAGCGTTTGGCCGGTGGAGTCAGGTGTAAGCTGGGAGTTTTTGTTTGACAGCGTTTGACCTGTGTAGTCAAGCGTAAGCTATTGTTCGACAGCGTTTGGCCGGTGTATTCAGGCGTAAGCTTTTGTTTGACAGCGTTTGACCTGTGTAGTCAAGCGTAAGCTATTGTTCGACAGCGTTTGGCCGGTGTAGTCAGGCGTAAGCTTTTGTTTGACAGCGTTTGACCGGTGTAGTCAGGTGTAAGCTTTTGTTTGACAGCGTTTGAGTGATGAAGTCAGGTGTAAGCTATTGTTCGACAGCGTTTGGCCGGTGTAGTCAGGTGTAAGCTTTTGTGTGACAGCGTTTGGCCGGTGTAGTCAGGCGTAAGCTGGGAGCTTTTGTGTGACAGCGTTTGACCTGTGTAGTCAAGCGTAAGCTATTGTTCGACAGCGTTTGGTCGGTGTAGTCAAGCGTAAGCTATTGTTCGACAGCGTTTGGCCGGTGTGGTCAGGCGTGAGCTTTTGTGTGACAGCGTTTAGCCGGTGTAGTCAGGCGTAAGCTGGGAGCTTTTGTGTGACAGCGTTTTGCCGGTGTAGTTAAGTGTAAGCTATTGTTCGAGAACGTTTGACCGGTGTAGTCAGGCGTGAGCTGAGAGCTTTTGTTTGAAGTGGACACAGTACTGGTGTGTTAGACTGGCTATGGGAACAAAGCACAAGCAGGCCGCCCTCCTAGGTCTTTTTTAAATATTTTATTACATACATTGCTGGATTTCTGACTGTCGAAATTTTGTACAGTAATCGTTCTTACTGTTCCAGTTTTACAGTAAAACAACACGTAATTCATTACTGTAAAATACGTTAAAAATTGAATAAGTTCTTTGTATATTCATTCGAAGAGTAAGCGTTTTGAAAGTACGTAGGGGCATCATTGAAATATTAAAACTTAGATTCCAAATTAAAATTTGGCGGAGCTGCTGAAACACGGAAGAACATGACAAAGAAATACACATAGAAACAGACAGAGAGATACACAGAGAGAGATACACAGAGAGATACACAGAGAGACAGACAGAGAGATACACATAGAAACAGACAGAGAGATACACATAAAGATACACAGATAAACAGACAGAGTGATACACAGAGAGATACACAGAGAGACAGACAGAGAGATACACATAGAAACAGACAGAGAGATAAACAGAGAAACAGACAGAGAGATACACAGAGAAACAGACAGAGAGATAAACAGAGAAACAGACAGAGAGATACACAGAGAGACAGACAGAGAGATACACAGAGAGACAGACAGAGAGATACACAGAGAGACAGACAGAGAGATACACAGAGAGACAGACAGAGATATACACAGAGAAACAGACAGAGAGATACACAGAGAGACAGACAGAGAGATACACAGAGAGACAGACAGAGAGATACACATAGAAACAAACAGAGAGATACACAGAGAAACAGACAGAGAGATACACAGAGAGACAGACAGAGAGATACACAGAGAAACAGACAGAGAGATACACAGAGAGACAGACAGAGAGATACATAGAGAAACAGACAGAGAGATACATAGAGAAACAGACAGAGAGATACATAGAGAAACAGACAGAGAGATACACAGAGAAACAGACAGAGAGACAGACAGGTAAGTAAATAGATAGAAATATCCCCTTACTTTAAATAATATCTGCGAGTGCGTGTGCATGAGTATGTGTTTGTATGCACTGATGTTCATTGTATGCATTGTATGTACATGTTTGTATGCATGTGTGTATATGTTTGTATGCATTGTATGTACATGTTTGTATGCATGTGTGTATATGTTTGTATGCATGTGTGTACATGTTTGTATGCATTGTATGTACATGTTTGTATGCATGTGTGTATATGTTTGTATGCATTGTATGTACATGTTTGTATACATGTGTGTATATGTTTGTATGCATGTGTGTACATGTTTGTATGCATTGTATGTACATGTTTGTATGCATGTGTGTATATGTGTATATGTGTGTATGCATTGTATGTACATGTTTGTATGCATGTGTGTGTATGTTTGTATGCATGTGTGTACATGTTTGTATGCATTGTATGTACATGTTTGTATGCATGTGTGTATATGTTTGTATGCATTGTATGTACATGTTTGTATGCATGTGTGTATATGTTTGTATGCATTGTATGTACATGTTTGTATGCATGTGTGTACATGTTTGCATGCATGTGTGTATATGTTTGTATGCATGTGTGTATATGTTTGTATGCATGTGTGTATATGTTTGTATGCATGTGTGTATATGTTTGTATGCATGTGTGTATATGTTTGTATGCATGTGTGTATATGTTTGTGTGCATGTGTGTATATGTGGGCATTTTAATGTGCAAGAATACTTGTATGTGTATATTACAGTGTGCGGACAGTTGGGTGTGAGCCTATGTGTGCGCGATTATGCATGTGGCGCGAATTTTGTGTGCGCGAGTATATGTGTGTTGATTAGTAAGTGTATGTGTGTGTACACGATTACGTATGTGTGTACACCTGTGTATGTGTATGTATATCAAATGGTCTTACCAGTATGTTCTGTTACTGTCGCAGAACTGCCTGTCCTTGAACTCGTTGATGTAGAGCGCCTATAAAAATGGGACAAACAGAGCAGACATCAGAGACGGTACTCTTTGTCCACTGGTGCACGAATGAGGTCAAAGACTCGTAGCTTTCTATATATGACCACTATAGGACACTATATACTATACACAAGACATGAAAAGTATGTAAAGTAAAGATAAATGTTTACATATTTAGGCGCATCGGGAATATGGGAAGAGCGTCTCATACTTTTACAGATCAATCGGCACTGGGTGGGTAATGTGGTCAGCATTACGCCGGTCGTCTTTACTTCACCAGGACAGCCATCCTGGTACCCATTTTAGGCTCGGTTAATTTCGGCCTCAAAGATAACCGTTTTTCTTATATCATTAATGTTTTCTAGGTCAGTGGAAAACCCGATTAGGGCCAGGGATGAAGTACCTCCTCTCCACAGCACAAAGCCTGGGTAGTATTGTAGAGACCATATGTTTCCCATTCATAATGATACCTCCCTCGAACTGCCTTGTTTACTCCAAAGGAAAAGTAAAACCAGTACGTTTGGAACGAGGCAGGTTGCAGAAACTGCCGGATCAGAAAAGCGGTGCTCTATCTGTCCGCCTGTTGGAGCTTCCCTCCTAGACCAGCTGCCAGCCAAGGCCAAAGGCCTGGTCTGCCCTGCCATAGAACAAAGTTTTTAGGTTAGCATTTTCCCTTCCTAGGATAAGGCTAGTATCCTCCCCAATGCGCTTCTTTAATAAATTAATTCTAATTTGTCATCATGTGTCGTTAGGAAAGAATGAAGAAACATTACTAGTGATTCAGTTTCTTGGGGGGCAATATATAAAAGCGAGGTCACCCTGGTTAGATAAAAAGCCCAGGTCTTATCTTTAATTATTTACAAAAAGACCAAAGCCGATCATCTAATTCCTTGCCCCAGGAAAAGAAAATTCGGAAAAGTATCTATTTGTTTCTCGGGACATTTCCCTAGATTAGTTATATCATAGATTGCAAAAAAATGTTCTGTCCTGTACTTTATGACAAATACTATATACAGCACAGAAAAATACCGCCTATTAAAAAAATACCATTAATTGCATAATTTACTATAAAAAGGCATTAAAAAAAATTATATCGTAAATTTCAGGTTTAATTTAGTATCATTGACTGACGTAACAATTCGATATACCACCATGATTAAATATGCCTACACAAGAGTTAACACCCCAATAGCGATACAAAAAAAATTATTTCAAATTTTGTTTTAAATTTTAGTTTATTTTAATATATCTAAGGCAATCTTATATAGAGTATATACGTTTTAATTTAATTGACCATATTAGATATATATATGTGTGTGTGTGTGTGTGTGTGTGTGTGTGTGTGTATGTTGTCCATCAAGATGATGATGATCACTCTTTTGTCATCAAGTATGAGTACGAAGATGACTGCTGAGGCCGATGCGGGCCCGAAAAGTTCTTGGACAGTGAGGACAGAGAATGAGCCTTGTGCCAGGGAGGAGATCTCCTGCAGTCGCCTTTCTGTCCATCCTTTTCTTAATCAGTCTTGCTGTTCTGTTTGCTTCACATGTAGCCGCGCCCTTGTGCAAAGCTGCACGCCATGCATTTCTGTCTTGAGAGGCAGCCTCCCATAGATATAAATACCAGGAGCGAAGATGTGTGGAGCGACATGAACACAAGGGACTGAGATGTGTGGAGCGACATGAAAACCTAGGACTGAGATATGGGGAGATACATGAACACAGGGGACTGAGATGTGTGGGGATACATGAGCACCAAGACTGAGATGTGTGGGGTGGGGGGGGGGGGACATGAATACCTGGAATTGAGATGTGTGGAGATACATAAGGAGCTGGGACTGAGATGTGTGGAAAGACATGAACACCTGGGATTGAGATGTGTGGAGAGACATGAACACCTAGAACTGAGATGTGTGGAGAGGCATGAACACCTGGGACTGAGATGTGTGGAAAGACACGAACACCTGGGGCTGGAATGTGATGAGAGGAATGAACATCTAGGTATGAGATGTGTGGATAGACATGAACACCTAGAGATGAGATGTGTGGATAGACATGAACACCTGGGACTGAGATAGATGTGTGGATAGACATGAACACCTGGGACTGAGATAGATGTGTGGATAGACATTAACACCTGGGACTGAGATAGATGTGTGGATAGACATTAACACCTGGGACTGAGATAGATGTGTGGATAGACATGAACACCTAGGGATGAGATGTGTGGATAGACATGAACACCTGGGACTGAGATAGATGAGTGGATAGACATGAACACCTAGGGATGAGATGTGTGGATAGACATGAACACCAAGGAAGGACATCTGTCCGTGTACCTGACTGGTCAGTTGCTAAATCATTCAGCAAACGTTGAACTGAACATATTTGACAACATGATTGTCTAACAGCAAGACTGGACTTGTTTCACAGTGTGTACGTAGGTTTGATTAACGATCTGTTTGCATGTGTGTGTGTTTGTGTGTGTCTGTGTGTGTTTGTATGTATATATGTGTGTGTGTTTGGAAGGCAGATTGATGTGAATGTCTGCCCGTATATATGTGTGCGTGTGTGTGTTGTAGAGGGGGATGGGGATGTTCTGGGACAGTATGCCCGTATGCGTGTTTTTGTGTGTGAGTGTGTGGGGGCAGGGGTACGTTAATGCATGCTTGTATGGGTGTGTGCATGTGTTGGCGAAGAAGTTGATGTAAATGAATGTCCGTATGTATGTTTGTTGGGACGGGTGCAGTGAATACATATCACTCACTGAAGAGAACAATAAGACAGTCGATTCACTCACCGAGAGAAATAAGACAATCGAATTTTTCACCGAGAGAACATAAAACGATTGAATCATTCGCTGAGAGAACATAAGACAATAGAATCATTTACCGACAGACCATAAGACAATCTTATTTCTCACCAAGAGACCACAAGACAATCTAATCTCTGACCGAGAAAACATAAGACAATGGAACCACTCAATAAAAGAAGACAAGACAATAATCACTTATCGAGAGAATTAAAAATAATCACATCCATCCCCGAGAGAAGAGAAGACAATCTAAATCTCATCATTCACACACACACACACACACACACACACACACACACACACAATAGACAATCAACTCATTTACTGAGATAAAATAAAGGCAATGAAATCACTCATAGAAAGAACATAAGATTATCGAATCACTCAGAGACAACTGAATCACTCACCGAAAGGGCGTACTTGAAGAAGCTGAAATGTTGGGCCCAGTGGAGCCAAGGACCGATGGAGTCGAAGCTGATGAGGAAGCCACCGAACAGCTGAAACAAATCAACAAAGCGCTCAACGTGTTATATCTGATTGTTGCTCTCTGTGTCTCTACATCTGTTCAATGGTTGTCTGTTTGCTCTGTGTCTTTGTACAAAATGTCAATGATTGTGTGTTTGCTCCACATCTCTTTACAACTGTGCCAATGACTGTATATTTGTTGCATATCACTATAAAACTGTGTCAATGGTTGTTTGTGTGTTTCCTGTCTCAATAAAACTGTATCAATGGTTGTGTGTTTGTTCTGTGTCTCTATGCAGCTGTTTCAAGTGTTGTCTGTTCGCTCAGTGTCTCTATACAGCTGTTTCTATTGTTGTCTGTTTGCTCCGTGTTTTTCTAAAGCTTGCAAAATCAGGGCTTCGAGAACGCGCAAGACTTTTAAGTATGAGAGGGACAGTACCCTTCTTAGAGGCCTTCGACAGAAGGTATGCAGCAGAACCACCATCTCTGCTTTTGTGCAGCCTCCAAGGTGGACCCAAGAAGTAGAAACAGGTATGGAGAGCATAGCGAGCAGCAGTTAGGAAATTAAAGAAAGTGTGAAAAGCACCTCACAGGTTACAAGACGATGTAGATAGGCTAGAAAGAGTTAAAAAAAAAAAAAGTAGAAGATTTCAAGCGTTGTGCAGCAGATGCAAAGAAGGCTAAATGGGAACATTTTATGAGCGAAAATGGAGGGGTTAGATCACTGGGTAGGTTTTGGAGACTTTACAGACAGATGAAAAGGAAAGAGCGGCAGGCATTATATACACTGATAATGATACACCAATGACAACAGACAAAAAGAAAGCGAAAACATTTTTGAAGAGATTTATAGCCCAAACTGATCATAATGATAGGGATCTTAGAAATTCAGTTAAAGATTATCTGTATAAAGTATAATACAATAAATGATAATTATTTCGAGGATATTATAAAGGTGGAGGATAAAAACATATATTGCAAAAAACAAAGGACACTGCGCCGGGGCCAGATGGAGTCAGGTATGTCCATATGAAGAGCATGAGTGATGAAGACTTTAGGGAGATGGCTTTTTTATTTCAATCAGAGCATCAGAACAGCTTCAGTACGCCAGGAATGGGTACACAGCTACCTAATCCCATTTTCAGGTAAAGATAATTCCAAACTCGGCGGTTTCAGGATTATCACCCTACAAAATACTTTTGGCAAGGTGCTAGAGAAGATTATGGCTATTAAACTACAACTATTTTTAGAAAGGAAAGAGCTCATGCAAAAAGGTTTGGGTAGTTACTGGCCACGGAAAGATATCTGGTTCACTGCAGCTACTTTTTGCTTTTGATGTTTATGAGGGGTTCCAGAACAGACAGGAGACAGTGGTGGCAGCACTTGATCTTACAGATTCCTACAATAGAGTCAAATATGATATTTTGATTTCTGCACTCATGGAAAAGGGGGTTTGTCCGTGGTTTATGAACTGGACAGCAGCTGTCCTGCATTCACGTATGGTTGCCCTTTGACTAGGTACATAGACCTTAGAACCTTGTAATATCGCCCCGGGACTACCACAGGGTTCTGCAGTTTCACTAGTGCTCTTTAATATGTATACAAGCAACATCACAGAACTCGAATCACCAGGTGTAGGAAGAATATTGACACTTTGCCGATGATGTTCTTGCATATAGGCAGGGGAGAGATAGGCGACGGATAGCTCACGAGCTACAGGCAACTGTAGACAATGTGACGTACTGGTGTGCAGAAATGGGTGCTGTCATCAACTCAAAAAAAGGCAGCTGTTTTGTGGTACTCTCTGGACAGTAGAATTGTAAAAACTAACGATCCAGACCTCATAGTTTATAACAGTAACATCAAAAGAGAAAGTGAGGTACCTGGGTATCATTTTCAAATTAGGGATCATGTGAATGTAGTTGCAGTGAAATGCCAAAAATGAGTCAATGCTCTCAAGATTATGGCAACAATGGTCATGGAACAAAGAATGTTGTACACAATGTTCAAGCATGTGATCCTGTCGGTGATAGATTATGGACTTGGAATGCTTACCATTTCAAAGAGTCAGCTGATGAAACTTGAAAGCATACAGAAAAAAGCCATTTGGGTAATTCTGGGATGTACAAGAGACACCCCAGTAGTATGTATGCGATACATACTTGCACTGCCTACTATTGCAGTTAAGCTTGAAGTTATGCAGGCAAAATAATATCTCAGAGTAGCTGCGGACAAGAGGCACCTCCTGCATGAAGTCCTGGATAGAGCTAAGGGTCACAGACTAAAAAGAGGAAAGTCTTGGAGGGCGCAAGCTGAAGACACAATTCGATATGTGTGCAGGCTTGATAAATTTAGGCGAGGAGAGGAGTGGGTCAAAGTGTCCGATCATGTCTCAGATTTGTGTAGGGTTCTAATCACTCTGGGACGTGAGTGCAGGGACTGACCAGTTGGTGCTGCAGAATCAGATGTTCAACAAATGATTCCTGACATTTTCCGTTCAATTTATGTGTCTATACAGATGGCTCTGTGTTGAGGGGCAGACGAAGTTCGTAGGTGTTCGTAGCAAAGGCGAATGGACGTCGCTTGGTGCAACAAAGCTTGGCAAATGATATCACAACGTCTAGTTTAAGAACTGATGTGGACGCAGTTACTGCTGCCTTCCGCTGGCTTGAGAATCAGCTGTACACACATGTCGTCATTGTAACTGACTCACAGAGCAATAGAGACAGGCATACTCCGTGTAGAGTAGCAAGCATCACTTCAGAGGTCCCGGGTAGTTAGCATCCTCTGGATTTTTTTTTCCATGTCATGCCGGTGTGTTGGGAAATGAGCAGGCAGACAGGCTGGTTCCGCACCACTTGGTGGTGAAGTGATGTATGACAAACTGGGTGTTGTGGGGGGCCCTTTGAGAGCGAGTGAACAGTGCCGAGGAACAGACAGACCATTGAGGAGAATGGCACTGCCAGGAGTAACAAGTGGATCTGGCCGACGCTCGACGCTCAGGGTAGAGGTGAGACGGATATACAATTGGACAGTTACTGGTACTATCATAATTTAAACTATTCGCTTGATGCTAAAGATGAGGACGGAGCGCTTATGGGGGTGTCCCGAGTACTTTGATGTCAATTTCTAATTCAACATTCAACATTTTGCAATACAAATTTTTCAATGGTTGCATGTTTCCTGCATGTATCTATACAACGGTGTCAATGGATGTCTTTTTGCTGCATGTCTCTATACAGCTGTGTCAATGGTTGTCTGTTTATTCCATGTCTCTATGCAACTGTATCTATGGAAGTCTATTTGCTGCATGTCTCTATGCAACTGTATCTATGGACGTCTTTTTGCTGCATGTCTCTATACAATTGTAAAAATGGACGTCTATTTGCTGCATGTCTCTATACAGCGGTGCCAATGGTTGTCTGTTTATTCCATGTCAAGTATGTCAATGGTTGTCTATTCCATGTCTCTATACAACTGTGTCAATGGTTGTTTGTTCCATGTCTCTATTCAACTGTGTCAATGGTTGTCTGTTCCATGTCTCTATTCAACTGTGTCAATGGTTGTCTGTTCTATGTCTCTATACAACTGTGTCAATGGTTGTCTATTCCAAATCTATATACAACTGTGTCAATGGTTGTCTATTCCATGTCTCTATACAACTGTGTCAATGGTTGTCTGTTCCATGTCTCTATACAACTGTGTCAATGGTTGTCTATTCCATGTCTCTATGCAACTGTGTCAATGATTGTCTATTCCATGTCTCTATACAACTGTGTCAATGATTGTCTATTCTATGTCTCTATTCAACTGTGTCAATGGTTGTCTGTTCCATGTCTCTATACAACTGTGTCAATGGTTGTCTGTTCCATGTCTCTATACAACTGTGTCAATGGTTGTCTGTTTCATGTCTCTATACAACTGTGTCAATGGTTGTCTGTTCCATGTCTCTATACAACTGTGTCAATGGTTGTCTATTCCATGTCTCTATACAACTGTGCCTGTTGTTGTCTGTTCCATGTCTCTATACAACTGTGTCAATGGTTGTCTATTCCATGTCTTTTTACAACTGTGTCAATTATTGTCTATTCCATGTTTCTATACAACTGTGTCAATGGTTGTCTATTCCATGTCTCTATATAACTGTGTCAATTATTGTCTATTCCATGTCTCTATACAACTGTGTCAATGGTTGTCTGTTCCATGTCTCTATACAACTGTGTCAATGGTTGTCTGTTCCATGTCTCTATACAACTGTGTCAATGGTTGTCTGTTTCATGTCTCTATACAACTGTGTCAATGGGTGTCTGTTCCATGTCTCTATACAACTGTGTCAATGGTTGTCTGTTCTATGTCTCTATACAACTGTGTCAATGGTTGTCTGTTCCATGTCTCTATACAACTGTGTCAATGGTTGTCTGTTCCATGTCTCTATACAACTGTGTCAATGGGTGTCTGTTCCATGTCTCTATACAACTGTGCCTGTTGTTGTCTAGTCCATGTCTTTTTACAACTGTGTCAATGGTTGTCTGTTCCATATCTCTATACAACTGTATCAATGGTTGTCTATTCCATGTCTCTATACAACTGTGTCAATGATTGTCTATTCCATGTCTCTATACAACTGTGTAAATGGTTGTCTGTTCCATGTCTCTATACAACTGTGTCAATGATTGTCTATTCCATGTCTCTATACAACTGTGTCAATGATTGTCTATGCCATGTCTCTGTATAACTGTGTCAATGATTGTCTGTTCCATGCCTCTATACAACTGTGTAAATGGTTGTCTGTTTCATGTCACTATACAACTGTGTCAATGGTTGTCTGTTCCATGTCTCTATACAACTGTGTCAATGGTTGTCTATTCCATGTCTCTATACAACTGTGTCAATGGTTGTCTGTTTCATGTCTCTATACAACTGTGTCAATGGTTGTCTGTTCCATGTCTCTATACAACTGTGTCAATGGTTGTCTATTCCATGTCTCTATTCAACTGTGTCAATGGTTGTCTGTTCCATGTCTCTATACAAC